CAGTCTGGTTCTTTATTTAACTAAACTAGTCATGCGTGTTTAAAAATAGTGATTTGGATATCTAATTTTGTCATCTATCTATAGTAATATAAAGAGGTTGTTGGAAAAATACAAAAATAGTAAGGTTGACTAAAAAAATAAAGTTTTGACTTACTATTTAAAGTACTATTTACTACTTTAAGAAATAAACATGTCGGTCACTTAAAATAATAATTAGAAATTAAGGAATAACACTTCAATTAATAATAAGAAATTAAGGAATAACATATATCCAAACGGATTGCTTTACAAAATTATTTCCGATTTCATTAACCAAAATAACCAGAAATAAGGAGTAGTAACATATGTCCAAACGGATTGCTTTACAAAATTATTCCGAATTTGTAGGAATTTATTGTTTCAAGAATCTAAACAAAATTTTCGTAGAATAATGATTGTACTTTGTTAACAAATTCAATAGTAACAAACTCTTTTTGTTTGGGCAACAATATCTTCAATGTATTTGATTTCCACACAACTAAATCACTACCGCATTTGTTTTATTTTTTAAACAAAAAACGTAACAAATATTTTGGTAAGGAATCTCAGCATATTATCCTATAATTATTAACGTGATTTGTTACCAATTTCAAAAGTAACAAACTCCTTTTTTTTATAAGGAATCATACATCCGCGGGATTTTTTTATAACAAACTCATTTTTATTTTCGTAATCAAAAGGAGAAATCCCGTAGTTGGGAATCAAATTAATTGAAGGACATAATATTTAAATAAATCCCGTAGGAAGTTATTTAAAATAGATATGACAATATAAATATGCACAGATATGACAATATAGTAGTTGATTCTTACTAAAATATGAATATAACTAGCCATGAAAATAATATATTCGTAGTTCTATGAATAGGTTTTATATTTTTAATACATAAAAAAATATCATTTAGAAACTAAGGTTATTCGTATTTCTATGATGGTATAAATATTATTGGTTTGGTTGTTTCAATACAATCTATTCAAATCAAACTAAGGTGAACTGCTCAACCCAATCCGGGCTGTAGAAGCTAAAATAAACACCCCAAAAAGGGCTGTGCAGGCTGAACTGAAGGATAACAGCCCAATAAGTGCTGCACATTCTGAAATGTACAGCCCAATGAGGGATGAAGATGATGAAGGTTACAGCCCAATAAGGGCTGTAACCACTGAACTGTACAGCCCAAACAGGGCTGTAAAGGCTGAAGTTCACAGCCCAAACTGGGTTGCAAAGGGTGAAATGGACTGCCCTCTTATTGCTGGAAATGGCTGCAAGGAAAAGACTAAGAAGAGAGAACAAACTGAGGTGTTTGAAGAAGGATCATGCTGTTCAGAGGAGCCAAAAGGGCATAAGAAGATAAAGATTGAAAAATTGTGAAAGTTGAAAAAAAAATCTGTGTGCTTAGTAATTTAAAAAACAGTTTCAACTATGATTCTGTTTTCTTATCTCAATTGCAAGAAATTTCATGAATAAATATTCCATCTTCCTATTTGTTAATGTTTGTGCTATTCAATTACTTAAACTATATCCAGTGATACTATTAATCATTCATACAACAACATAACAGGAATTGTTCTCTATCCAAAACAGCAAAACAGCTAAATTAATCAACAATTAAAATGAACAGATAATATCAGAATATACAAGTTTTCTAAAGCAAAAATCTATATCAGAATAGTGTTATAAACTATCTAATTATAACAGCAAAATAGCACCAAGAAATAAAAACATCAGATAGGATCATTTAGCACTTCATCATTTAACACATAACATCAAAACAACACCAAGAAAGTACAATTTAAACAGCAAAACACAAAAGAACCATGATGTTGTTCAATCATAACAACAAAACAGCACCCAGATATAAAACACCAGAAATGAGCATTTGGGTGTGCAACACATAGTCATGTATTAAAACAAAACCACTTAATCATGTTGTTTAAGTTGGCTTTAGGGTTTCAGGTTTCACTCTTTAAAGTTTAGGGTTTCTTATAATGTGTTCAGTCTTACTACACCATATCAACATGATTACTGAAGATTCTTGCAGAAATGAGCATTTAACACTTAATCAGAAAACTAAAAGCAAATCCTTTAAGTGTTGTGGCATAACAGATAATACAATTTAAACATCAAGGTAAGGGTAGCTATTGTATCATTCATTTAGGGGTATAATAAGAACAAAACCAGAATAAGTAATGTCATATAATCATGCTTTCAAAAAACAGATTCATATAATGTTAAGATAATATGTCCATAGAACAGCACTTAACCTTCAGTCATTCAAAACATTTAACATTTTAATACTGAACAGAATCAAGATATCACTAAATTCAAAACATAGCACTTAATCATGTTGTTTAAGTTGGTTTTAGTGCTTAAGGTTTCAGTGTTTAGAGTTTTGGGTTTTCTATAATGTGTTTAGTCTTGATATACCATATCAACAGGATGAATGAAGATTCATGCAGTAATGATTATAGAACAACACCAAATCTTCTGTCATCCAAAACATTTTAAATTTTAAGATTGAACAAAATCAAGATATCACAAATTTCAAGACATAACACTCTTTAAGATTGAACAAATTCAATAATTCGAGTGAAAATAACTAAAAAAACTAAGTTAATTAATATCTTTTTTATTCAGCCACTAAGTTTTTATGTAATTAGCTGATTAACAAGTCACAAATTTGGAGTAACATTCAATCAATCAATCACATAAATCATGCAAAAAAACTGATCAATTTTATTATCACATTAACTATCTATCAAACATAAGTCAATAAAATCAATCAGTTTCAGGGATAAAATATCAAGAAAATATATCATTTTCAACAAAGAATTTACTCAATTTAATGAAATCCTGATTTCAGCAGTCATACATATTTCAGAAATGTCAGTTTTTTAATACCTTCCAAATACAAGAAACAAACTCAATATTCCTAATAAAAGCTAACTAATGCACTTAATATACTTACCAAACATAGATGTTGCATTTTTTTCTATATAAACCAACATAATTTATTTAGTCTACTTATCCCAAAAGCACATCATCTAAATAAAAACTTTGTCAGCTTCTGTTGTTCATCAGCCGAGCACACAGAGAGCAATAAAGACCAAACAAGATGATTTATGAAGCACAAAAATAAGGTGGATTCAGCACTGAAAGAAGAGTGATCAACACAAATCCAAAGAACATGAAAAGGTTATCCAACGGCTACAACATATTGGGCAACAAAAAGAACAAACAAGAATCTACTCCAAATGGTACAGAATGCTATTGAGTGCTACGCATAATATCAAATTTGTTCAAAGTTTGTTACCTTATTTTGCTGTTACCTTCTTTTACAAATATTCATTCTTTGATTCTCCCATTTTGTTACCCAAATGATGACTCCCGAGCTTACAGAGTCAGTTTCCTTCAAAACAGAGAATCATTAAGTTAGAATATATTACTTTTCAGTATATATATGAAAAAAATTGAAATGTATGAGGTAGATGACACTTATCTTATTTGTTTATAATCTGGCTGTGTTTTCTTCGTTGGTTTATACCTGTAAAGCATATGATAACACTGTTAGAACTACTGTTACACTTGCAAACGCGTTGTCTTAGCATTTAACTGAGCAATATTATACATAGTAGTATACTCCTTAGCTTTTAAAACACAGTATTGCAACCTAACTTATATATTACCTTTGTTATCTTTCAGTTGTTGAAAATCAGTAACATAACTATAAATCTGATTTAAATTTAAACATAAAACTCAAATTTATAAATAAAACAGTGAGTTAAATTAAATGACATA